CTCCCCTCCATCCCCCTTTGCCTCCCCTCCCCCAATGCCCATCTCAGGGTCTCATAAAGTGATTGTCTTATCAAGATATTTGTTAAGAGATGGCCACGTACGAGACATCACCGCTATTGCTCTTGCCAATGTGTAAGCTACATTCCCTTTCCATACTACCCCACCCCCTTGTATACTATATATATAATTGGAAGGGTAGCCAGAGGTGTAGTTGGGTTGGTACTGGAGCTTACAAGACTGGAGGTATCAATCCCTATTACGTATCATATGCTTCGTTTCCACTGAGCGGTATGGTTCGGGTCGGTACAGTTCGGAAGGGTTAGAATGGCCCAGACTATTCAGGTGAGCGTTTCCACTGCAAGTTGGACTGCCAGGAGGCATGGGGGTTTAGACCACATGCCTAGCGTGTCATTTGTCGTGAGCATTGACGTTTTCCTGTCTGCCAACCAATGTGTTGTATAGTGTGACGCCAGTAGCTCCGTAACATTTTCTATGGACCTACATCTGAACGGGGCCCAGGAATGGTGCGGTTTGATTCAGTTGTATGGGCCACTTTCATAATGGAAACACTCAAAATAGCATACCAGACCGGACCGACCCGAACTGTACCGCTCAGTGGAAACAAGGCATAAGTAATCCTGCAGAATATTGCAACTCATGTTCTGTTGTTAAATGTCATGTCTGTTAAATGTATACCACCACATAGTATCCTTGTACCTATTGCTCAGCCAACTATCAGATTTGGAGTCGGTCACCTCCTCTATACTCTTTTTCATACCCCCTACCCCCCCTTCCAACTACCCCTTAGTCTTATTACAGATGTGGAGTGGGTGCTTAGAATATCATTGTATCATGTCCTATCTTTGTTATGTATCCATCTACTGGTGTACATATGCCCCCATCCCCCCCTCTCCCCTCCTGGTATAACAGATATTCAACAAATAGCCAGAAGTATGGCAGGGCCAATGCTAAAGTATTAGTGAAAAGTCCAACAAAGACGCACGCTTTACCGCACTTGTGGCATCTACAAACCCATTTTGTTCATGTACCGCTATAGAGGAAATGTCTGAGATTTGTATTATAATGCCTGCTCATCCCAGCTCTATGGAAGCAGGCAAAATGAATAAAACCTTATTTAAAAAAAAATAAAAAAAAATAAAATATATATATATATATATATTAAAAAAATAAAAAATAAAAACTTACTGGATCTCTGCATAATAGGTATGAACAATTGTAACTGGAGACAAGGGTAAAACGAGATATACAGAGGGGCTGGTGGGAAGAAACACACAGAGGATCTGCGGGGAGAAAGAGAAACAAGAGGAAATTGGGGGGGAGAAATAGACACACAGAGGGGCATATGCACAACTGGGCAAGAATGCTGGGATTTCTAATCAACTGTAGACAGAGAAGTAGAAGTCAAAATGACAATGTCACAATGTTCATTCACAGTGGTCAAAAGATAAAGATAGACAGATGAATAGTTAGGTATGTGTCTGCGTGTGTCTGTACTGAAATACTGAAAAGCTTTGTAGTTTATTGTGACATAATTGCAGTTTTTAAAATTCAGAGATTTTCACAAAAATACCACAAGGGGGAGGCATTTCTTTTGAATGTACTCAGCACGATTTCCCTGACTGCAGAAATCATGTGTAGGAAACTTCTAAACAGCGTGTTTCTTTACCTTCGTAAGACTTCAGCAACAATGATGAATGTAATCTACATAAATCTTGAACAAGATACACTTTCATAATAGGAGTATGTAAGTATTTGCTTTCATAGCACTTACATTCACTGTTAACACTGCAGCTGATACCTTGCCACGTGGCTAAGGAAGGTTGGGGGGAGCCTTTCTAAAAGCAATGTATTATTTTGTAATCAGCTGTACACCTCTCTTGCACTTTACATAATAAAATGGCAGTATGGTTAGTTTTCAGCATTGTATTTGAAGGGTTACTACACTAAGTGATTATGTTGCATGAGTACCCTGACCCAGTTCCAGTACATGCCTAATACATACTTACACACACACTGCACATTACATTCACACCCATGCACACATACTACCTAATGCATACATCCATACACACATACTGCATAATATATCCCTCCTTTGGAGGGTTTCCGGTGTTCATAGGCAGGGGCTACCTAGTCACTTTGCGGCTTTCCCTGCCTGCGGAAAGTATTAAATTCTGCTCAGTTGCTGGAGTTACAGTAAACCTTGTTACCTGGGCAGATAATCGGATGGAGACATCAAGGCAGAGAAAACCCAGCTGAGGAAATTGCTACGCTGGGCTGTGGCTAAGGAGCCGCTTGCCAAGCTCTGCATAGAACTGACATTAGCTGGCTGGTGACACCCTATGACTCTGCCAAAGGTGAAGTTAAACCTCCGACAGCAGAGGGGTTAATTTCTGTTTCAAACAGTGGCGTACACACAACCCATGGGGCCCCGGTGCAAAACTGATCCATGCCCCGCCCCCTCGCCACCGACACACACACACAAAGAGACAGACAGATACATACAGACACATACATACAAAGACACTTACATACAAACAGACAGGCACACATACATACAGACACAGACAGAAAGACACACACACACGACAAATACATACAAACAGACAGGCACACATACATACAGACAAGACACACATACATACAAACAAACAGTCAGACACATACAGACAGACACACATACACACACACACAGACAGACACACACACATACAAAAAGACAGACACACAAAACATACATACAGACAGATAGACACAGAAACACACATACATACAAACAATCACACACACATAATATTTAAGTCATCCTCCTGTTTCTTACCTTTTAGGTGCAGGAGTTTTTTTTCCCCTGGGGTCCAGTGGTAGCTCAGGTTGATGGGAGTCAGAGATCCCACTCTGACTCCCTCTGCTTCCTCCTGCACGGGCTCTCAGTGATAGCTGGGAGGAGTGACCAGGGCAGTCACTTCCTCCCAGCATGTGATGATCTCGTTACAGGGGGCCCGGTCGCGCTGTTAAAGCGCCGCAGCGCTGACCGGGACCCCTGAAAATCCATCTCCATCGGGTGGCCCTGACAGCATGGCACCTTAGCATGCGGCCCGGCGGTTTGCCGCACGGCAGGGAAATGGTGATGGCGGGCAATCGGGCGCAGGGGTCTGCAGGGTAGCCGGGCCCCCTGGAGTGACGGGCCCGATCGCAGCTGCGACCGCTATATGTACGCCAGTGGTTTCAAAGCAAAACAGTGCACGTACAGACTGCAGGCACCATGACCACTTCAAATCACTGAACTAATTAAAGGAAAACTGTTATTTCTGTATTGAAATGATATTGTGGCATAGAGTAGTTTAGAGTTGCAATTAATGAGTAGGATATATAAACGGAGATTAGGGACAATTGTGACAAGCCTGCTAAACCCAGAATGATTTGGCAGGAAAGTTCGCCATGGATATACCTTAGAACTTAATCCTCCTAAACTTAAAGTACCTATAGGTTAATTTCAGTCCACCTCCCTTTGTGTTTAAAAAAGTAAATAAAATAAAGATTAGACATGTACATGGGGAGAACATTAGTTTTGTTTCGATTCAGAACTGTAACATTCGGATTCGGAACAAAACTAAATTAAGCAAAAATATTAGAAACATCCGTAATTCGGATATCCGTCATTCACTAAAGCGGACTGTTAAGTAGATAACTATATATATATATATATATATATATATATATATATATATATGTTGGATTTCCATTTAAAGGATACCAAATTAGGGAGCTATCTACTAAACACAACAGCTCCTTAATTTGGTACCCTTATGTGGTATTGCTTTATTTAAAGGGAAACTATAATGTCAGCTGGCGGGTGGGATCTAGTGCGCATGCGCAGTGAATGCCATGCTCGCATTAGGAACTCCCCCATAGGAAAGCATTGTATTATATTTTCCTATAGGATTTTGGGTGACGCTGGATGTATGCATGAGGACGTCCAGGGTCACTTAGGCTACCAAAAGTTACCTAACCACCCACAAGTCCCTCTAATTGCTGTCTAGTAAACAGCCACTACAGGTAGAGTTAACCTCCAAGGCAATTATTGCAGTTTCACAAAAACTGCAGTAATCGCCATTGCAGAATAAGGGACCTTGGACACTGCACCCAGACCATTTGAATGAACTGAAGTGGTCTGGGTGCCTAGTGTCCCTTTTAGTTTGAGGTGTTGCCTTAGATCTCAATCCGATTGAGTATCTGCGTGATGTTCTGGAAGGAATCCGATCCCTGGAGGCCCTACCTTGCAACTTGCAGGACTTAAAGGATATGCTACAAGTGTCTTGGTGTAGGGATGTGCATGGGAAAAATATTCGGTTCGGCATTTCCGAAATTTGGGACTTCGGTAGTTCGGAACTTCGGCACTTCGTCAAATTCGGAACTTCAGGATTTCTGCACTTCGGAACTTCGGCACATTGGTACCTCGGCACTTCGGACATTCGGAAGCAACCGAATGTCCGAATTGCCGAAATTACTCTGAATTTACATTCGGAACGAAACGAATTGCACATGTCTATCTTGGTGCCATATATCACAGGACACATTCAGAGGTCCATGCCTCTGTGCATCAGAACTGTTTTATCAGCACAGGTTGGACCAAACGATATTAGGCAGGTGGTTTTAATGACTACTAACAATTAGAAGGAAGATCAGTGATAATTCATTGCTGTTTATTTACTAATAAAGAACTCTAGAGCAGGGGCGTACCTAGAGCATTTGGCACCCGGGGCGGATCCTGTGCTTGGCACCCCCCCCCCCTCCCCCCCCCAAAAAAAAACAAACCTGTAAAATTTTTTAAAGGTTCTCTTTTTTTTTCTTACAATTTGTAAAGACTCCTGTCCCAATACAAAACCCCCGCCCCTTTCTACAAAATCCCTGCAGCCCCACACACACATTTACAGGCAGACAGTCACACACACATTTACAGGCAGACAGTCACACACTCAGTTACAGGCAGACAGTCACATACAGTCACAGGCAGACAGTCACACATACACATTTCCTCCGTGCGGCCAGTTTATCAGCTGTTTGCTTGTGTGAGCTGTACTGGCCGCACGGCACCCTAACTACCATGGGACACTGTGCGGCCACAGCTCACACAGCCCCCTCCAGCCAGGGCCGGTGCAAGGATTTTTGCCGTCCTAGGCAAAAGTAAAGTTTGCCGCCACCCCCCCCATGTGACATCACAATGCCCCACCCATATGATTTTCCATGTTAACTAACGCCAGTGCTGCAGTGCCGCCGTGTTTACATTAAAAGGCCTGCAGGGACAGGCTATAGACACCAGAACCACTACATTAAGCTGAAGTGGTTCTGGGGACTCTAGTGTTTCTTTAATGTGAGGTAAATTAGAGCTTAGTGCCACGAATAATATACTAGATTGCCTACTTACAACCAGATGAGGATGATGATGAGCTCTAGCTGCAGTCTAGCTCCACTGGTCTGGTGCAGAACAGGCTCTCTGGAGGCGGTTTGTAACTGTGGTCACAAAAATCAATGTTCTGGGAGAACGGGAAGCAGCTCCATTTTTTTGGGGTCCTTTACACAGCTCAAGGTCTGGGTCCCAGGGTCCACCTTCATGTTCCACCAGTGAGTTTGTTCACAGGGGGTGGAGTGTGTAGGGGATGTCCTGATATGTGTGTAAGGAATGCAGTGTGTGAAATTGTGTTTGTATGTGTAAGGGCTGCAAGGTGTGTTTCTGTGTATGTATGGGATGCATTGAATGTGTGTAAGGGGTGCATTGAGTGTGTGTAATGAATGCATTGTGTGTTTCTGTGTGTGTAAAGGATGCATTGTGTGTAACGGTTGCATTGCTTGTGTATGTGTGTCTGTGTGTTTTTCTGTGTGCAAGGGGTGCATTGTGTGTATGTGATGAATGTCAATCCCTCCTCCCGCTCCAATTTCCTTCTCCTCCCAATTTCTCTTTC